TTAAAAAGTATGTCACTTGATAGAAAAGTGTTTCGGTTGTCAAGATCGGGGGACACAATTCAGATGAGCACTCTGATTAGCGTCAAGTCCGCCAGGAAAGGTAATCAGCTGCGCGCGTTTGATTTAGCAATTTCCGCTCAAGGTAATTGCTCTGCGGAGTACTTTTGGGTGCACAGGGCCGCTTTGCATAATCTGATGGCAGCCGCTTCTGTCGTAGCCAACAGACGCTCTCTAAGTAATTTTGAATAGCTTAAGAACACCTTATAGGTCACTCAGAAAGCCTCTCTGGCCTCCACGCGATGATCTATGTCTACCATGTGCGCTAAAACGGAACTGGTAATGCTCATTATATGGCCTTTCGATAGACACGGCACTGTAACAGGAACCTCTTCTCCCCATTCCGGTCGCTAATTCTCCGAGAGATTAGGGTTACGGCAATAACTCGATACTGGTAACCTTTATTTACGTTTTTTTGCAAGCCCACCTGCATTAGCGTGGCAGGGGCTTTCCTGTTTCCTTGCCTTGTTCAGATATACGCGGATAAGAAGTACAATTATAATGGTCAACCTTCTCCTGTGACAAGATTCCAAACTCCTACCCCAAACATGGGTCAGCACAACCGCATTCTGGGCGCAGTTAACCAGTGTGAACTCGCTGCAGCTGCAAATAATCGTGTTCAGTGTGCCAATCCAGAGCAAGTCGTGGTAACACAGTAGGTGAACAATTTGTCTGACGCAAGACTCCGGGATATAGGGGCTGTTGTCCTACCTACCGCAGTTCACCGAAATGTAATAAAATTAACCTTTTCACAAATCCCTGGTAGTCCTACCGAACAGCAACAAAGTTCGTTGTTGGTGAAGTAGCGGACAGCGATGGCAAAGCAGTCTAACAGGCGCGCCAGTGCTCGTATATCGCCCGGCATCAGCTGAAGCACAAACGATCGAGGGTTCTGTGTGTGCGTGACAGCATCGAAAACTTAATTCATTCACGCCGCGCCCTCCTAAGCACAACAGACGCGTCTCCGTCGTGTTCCCGTCCGCCCTCACGGCAGCCAAGGTCTGCTACACTCATCTCCCTACGCTGAAACCATTTACATCTCTGCGCCGTCTACTTGGAAGCCACTGCTGGATTTGCCCTCCTTTCTCCCCCCTACCCAAAGACCCAACCCACCCACCTCCACGCAGAGGCTTTGTTTCAACCTAAACGACATCATACATTTTAATGCCTTGAGAACTGACTAAGACGTGGACAGTGTAGTAGGGTCTGGCTACTTATCGTGTCTTTGTTGTCTTTGTTTTCATCTATGATAAATGCTCACCTCAGCATGTGCCTTCTTTCCAACCATTACAG